GTTATCATATTTATTTTGTTTATTATTTATCATAGTTCTGTAAACATATGATTGACCATGGCAGGATTGTCTATAAAGTACCTTTCAGTTGCCATTATTAAACAGACACTGTGGATGGTTTAGATGATAATANTGGTAATAATAGTGTAGTTTTATATAGCGCACATATCCATCTAATGTAAGATGCTCAGGGCGCTTGAAATGTGGACTAGGAACTCGACCAATGACTTTCTTCGCCCCTAAGGGTCCCTTCGTGTCTGTGCTACCCGGTAACCCGGTACCAGCAACTCTCGTCGTCCACCACTGGGTCTGTCTGTTCCAGTACACCGGGGTAACCCCCTACTCGTCTCGAAGGATGTACTGGGTTCTCTATAGTGCACACAAGCCATTGTATACACTGGGCCTACGGTTTATAGTCCTTATCCGAGAAGACTTGTTCTACCACCGGAACCATAGGCGAGCGTGTGTCCCTGCAACCGCTCGGCCATTTGACTCATTCGATAAGACATTGTGGAATAATTATAAACAGGACCCTAGTAATTATAAATGTGAAAGTAGTCACTTCATGGACTTATCAGTCTTTAACAAAATGTAAAAGGCACATTTTAAAAAATAAAAGAAACAACACTTACTCTGCATCATCTGCATGACAGAAAACTTGTACCGATGACGGCAATGGTGGCCATTCCAATACTTGCACAGGCCACATCATGGACAATGGTATGCCTGGCAATCGAGCCCAATAGATATCTCCTGGATAAATTCAAATTTTAATTATTTTTATTATTATTTTTATTATTATTATTAATATTATTATTATTATTATTATTATTATTCATTAGAGCTATTATTAACTACCTAACAATAGATTACATATTACTAATAATGAAAACAAAATAATTAAAAAAAATGCAAATTTACTAAGGCCTATTAAAAAAAGTTTGTTGGCGTAATCCGACTGATGCTAAAATATTGCTGATCCTAGACATATTTTTTTCAAGTTTGCGATACTACTTTACTCAAATTCCAACCTACCTTCCCTATAAAACTTTTTTTAGGCCTGAGTTCTAGGCCAAACTGTAAGACTTCATCTTAAAAACAAGATTATTTGGGTACAATTCAACACATACACCAACTCGGCCCTTGCCAACTCTGCCCTTTAGGCTTTACCAACTCGGTAGGGGCAGCGCCAGTGGGGGAAGGGGAATTTTGGGAGCAGGTCAAAACGGCAATAAACCAAAACGGCAAAAATAAGTACCAAACGGCAATAGACCAAAACGGCAATAGGCATAGACCAAAACGGCAATGGAGCAACAATCAATGCCAATTGAATGAAGCGTCACCGGGCGCGGGCAGCAGTTTATAATTTTCTGAGTCGTGTTTTTTTTTTTTTTTTACACATCCATGACTAGGCTTATATTATATTAAAGTGTTGTTTATTATTATTATTATTTTTTTTTTTCTGTTTTTTACTTTCATGGCATAATTAGCCTCATTTTATCTGTATTTTAAGGTTCTAATTATTTAAATGTTCACTGCTTTTATAGCAGTCTTTTTACTATTGAATTGTATTGTATGTTATTATTAATAGGCCCCCTATTATTATTCTTTCTAGTGTTTTATTTTGCTTTCGCGCTTTTTTACTTTTGATTTAAATTGTTTAGCCTCATTTTGTCTGTATTTCAAAGTTTTAATTAAAATTTAAATGTTTACTGCTTTTATATTGTGATCCCCAATCTTTTTACTATTAAATATGTATTATTACCTATTATTATTATTATTATTATTAGGCCTATTATTTTTTATTATTATTATTATTATTATTATTATTATTATTATTATTATTAATGTTGTTGTTCTTTACGGTGTTTTTTACTTCTGACAATTTAGCCTCATAATCACTGTATTTATCATTGTAGCCTACACTTTCATATTTATAATTGGTTTTAGGAATTAAGTTTTACTTCTTAAAAAAAACGACCCGGAACCCAGTAGGCCTAGGCTATGTCATTCTGGAAGTGATGCCGTTTTGGTTTATTGCCGTTTTGACTTAGGCCTATTGCCGTTTTGGTCTTGCCGTTTTGACATTGCCGTTTTGACTTATCATGCCGTTCTGGTTGAAAAGTGTTGCTGTTTTTGTTTTTTGCCGTTTTGCTCATTGCCGTTTTGACTTATTGCCGTTTTGGTTTTTTGCCGTTCTGTCCAATTTTCCCCCATCGGACATGCACATTAGTTTATTAACAATTATTTTTATTAGTAAGTTTATTATTGTTACTATATTACTGTATAACCTGTCTCTTATACACATCTAGATGTGTATAAGAGACAGGTATTATTTTTTTCTTTTTTTTAACCCCCCTCCCAAAAGGGGGGGGGGCGGCCCGGCCCCCTAAATCCGCCCCTGAAATTACACGAAAAAGCCGTATGAAAGGCACAAACATGGGCCGGGACTTCATTGATCATGTCTGATGATGGTGGTAGGCCTACTATGAGCCTACCATTCTACCACCGGGTCAATTAAGGAGGCCAAGGAACAGGCAGGGACTAGGTCCCTACCTATCCTATAGGACTAGCGTAGCATGATTGACATGTAAAAATAATAATAATCGTTTTTCTGTCCTAGCCTAAAATACTAGAATAAGCCCAATCCAAAGATAAACAAGAAATAAAACTTACCCTTTTTCCAAATAATCTCCTGCATTTCGTAACCGTGAATTCCAAGTACCAATTGATCTCTAACCGTATCATGATCTGATTTGCTTGACAGGAAGAAGGCAGCGAACCTGCCTGAGAGACGGGCAAGCGTGCGCTAGGCTTAGGCGCACGGGGGTAGCTAAGCCTAGCTCTGGTAGTGATACGATTGTAGTACGATTATTGATAAAACTACTAAACCCAGGACATTTTGTATTTGAAAAGATAGTTAAGCGAGTACAAAATTATAGAGGGGGCTGTTCATTTAGAATAGTAAGACAAATGGTATAGAATATAGGAAAACCTAGCTAAATAAGGACATTTGAGGTGTAGGCCTAGGAGGGTAGGGTAGAATCAGTAAAGGGGATTGTAGGCCTAGACTAAGTGAGGACACGAGATTTGTCCTCACTTATTTTTTTTGTCCTGAGATTAATAAGAAAATATAGGCGATTGTCCTCACATTGGATAGGTTTACCAGTACTAGGCCTATGCTAGAACAGTGAGTAGTTTATGAAATTGTATCCCTAGTAACGTCGTATGTTTACGTAACATTTTACATTATATTCCTCAGTGATTCTTTTGCAGTTGATAAAAGGCCTATGTATGTATTGGAACATACCTATAGCCTAAAGGCTGTAGTGACGGCCGCCGTGTGTTCGAGAGACCGATCAACGGTAACGACCTCTAAACCCGGCATCTGTGTATTTGCATATCCTGCCCTCAGGTGTGCAGAGGAGGGATCGCCGAGACCTTGGGGGAATTGTCGTCACTCGTACACTAGACCTTATGCTGAGAGCGTTGTTTACCTTACTACAGGATTCGTTTATGTGTATCTGTTGTCCAAGTCTTCACAGGAGTATAATTGCCTGCGCTGTGGGTACTGTTGTGTTCGTTTATATTATTGGAGTATTGTCGCCTTAAGAAGATATCCCATTGGATAAGGTAAGCACCACTCGGTACCTTTTATATCACAGTATATATATAGGCGATAAATACTACAAGGCCAACTCAGACGAATACAGATCATTTCGGTCGCGCTTCATTTCGGTCGCGGTTTGTTTTCAACAAATATATGGAACGCCAATGGAGTTTCGAAACGCTAAATTTAATATAACTATTATTATTATATTATTTTTTTTTTTAATTTACATTGTATCTGGAAAAACCAGCCAGTTTGTTATTTAAATTACTGTAAAATTAGTTTATTAACAATTATTTTTATTAGTATTAAAGTTTGTTATTGTTACTATATTACTGTATAACTTGGTGCTATTTTTATTTTTTTACAGAAACAACGCAGATGTTACGAAGTTGACAGAGTTTGAGATACGTTTTTTTTGGTTCTTGCTATATATATTGATATAATTTTTATTAATGCTTGAATCAAATAAAAATCTATGGAATAAGTATAGTCAATAGATTAATTTCGTATACGTTTTTTTTTTCTTGTCTGTTACATTTCCATTTACCATAAATGTTCTGATCATGTTATAATAATATTGTAAAGGAAATAGGTATTGTATGTATTATATTTTCTATATAAAATTATCAATACTTTGATAATTTTAAAAGCCTTTTCATGCTTCTGTTATATTCATAAGCCCGAGAAAATCACTCAACTTGCTAGGCCTATTTCTTTAGTTGCATAACTGGAGTATAATTGTGGAAAGAAAAGTTTCCACATATTTATTGCCATGGTACTTAGGAGAAGATGACACAAGTTTTGTGATTTCTTGTTTGTCTTATTTCCATTTTTGTTACATTATTGCAAAGACAGAAGTAGGTCAGATGCTAAAATAGACGACTAGCTATTTCTAGGTACAAACGTGTACGCTGAAGCGCAGTTCACGGTGTGTTCACCTACTTCATGAAACCAGTAACTTCGAATAGTCTGCGCTGGCTGCTGATCATGTTTATAAAAAAAAAATAAATGGATAATAGAATAAATATTTGTTATATGATTTCATGTATAATGTAAATAAATACGTATAAATTTTATGTATATATATATGGTATATATATATACATACATATATATCTGTCTCTTATACACATCTAGATGTGTATAAGAGACAGCATCCATGACTAGGCTTATATTAAGTGTGTGTATTATTTGTTTATTTCTTCGTGTTTCCTTCAATTCTCTTGGTATGTTTCATCCAATCTCTGGAAGCTGCAAGAAAAACAAATATATTTATTGTATAAAAAGATGAGTTTAAATATTGAATGATTATTGTTTTAACTAAATTATGAAATAGATTTCAGATGGTAACAATATCCAATTCAATTAAATTCAAAGATACATTTTATTGACCATTCATTAAAGTAAAGTATATGAAACATGTATATGGTGTGCGTCGGGGGCAGTCGCGTAGTAGAATATTAAACGTGTTTAATATTTCTCACGACGGCTAAAGACTGTCCCCGACGAGAAATCGGGTCGAGCTGCGTCGATCGACGCTGTCTGGGTTGGCCTTAGTAATAGGCCTATACCAAAGCCACCACTATCTATACTACTACCACTACTACCTGTAGGCCTACCAATTTAACTGTTCCCTGGGCGGGTGGGTCCTACTTATCGAGAGTACTTAGCCTATAGGTAGTGAGATTAGAGGCTAACCTAAAATTATAGGCAGACCTATGTTATCATTAATATTAGATGCCATTATGCATGCTATGTCAGAACTATTGATATTTTATAATTAGGTCAATTTGTATTGTTTTTATTTTATTTTTTTTTTTTCAATATTCTAGTATGTTGAAAACATATTAGAAGATAGTAGGCAGAAAAGTGAGGAAGGTGAAAGCACATTGCCAGTACCTTGCAACAATTGAAAATGCATCATTTCATTTAGCCTTGTTTGTTAAAGAATATCAGCAGAGCAGAAACTTGCAGGTATTAATATTACTTAATTTGTATGTACTCCTTTCTCAGTCTACCAACTCATACTTATTTATTATATTATTATTGCTTAATTAGGCTATTATTATTATTATTATTACATCTATGTACTAAGTTTGTAATTCAGATATTAAAGCACTGTATGATTTTTAAAAAAATCTACATGTATATTATACTATTATAGGATAATTCAAAAACATCCACTACAAAGTGCAGAAAAAAAGGGACAAAGTCTAAACGCTCAATGCGTGTGCAAGTTGGCTAAAAAATGTGTACCAAAGGTAAAATTCTTATTTTTTATTTTCATTTTCTGATATTGTTAAATGTAGCAGTTATACCTGTATACCTATAATATCAATAAAATGCCCTTTTTAAAATAAAAATAAATAATAATTTTTAGAAATTCAATATTCAATATAAACATTGTCTTTTGTTTACAGAAACTCAAACTGGTAAGAGTGATCATCATGCTAGCATCTTTGATAGAACTTTCAATCCAGAGAACACATATCTTTCATCATCATTAATGTAAATTAACAAGGAATTACAAATAGTAGTTCTAGGAATTATTGTCATGTATTTACTGTATATTATTACAACAAGGTACAGTATACGTAGCATTAAACTACAGCCTGCAGTATATTTTAAAAAGAATTTTATTTACAATCTATATACAGTATTTAAATTCAAATTAGAGTATTCAACACCATTTTAAGTTTTCTTCTTAATATTGGTTTTAAGGTCGGATAGTGATGACAGGGTCAGTGATTTGTCGAAGGGTCCAGTTGAGCAAATGAAGTTTATTGTCTTTGAGAACCAGCTCCTAGAATTATTCAGCAAATGTCCTTCCTGTCATTGCCAGGAAAAATGATAAAAAGTTGATTTCTCGTAAGTGGGACTTGTTTTCTATTATACAGGCATCACCCTATCTTCAAAAGATACTGTACAAACAATGTTACGGTAAAATTATAATGTTACTGTGTTTCACTGTACTCTGTGTGTGTTCATGATTTCGGATAGGCCTACATTATACGTGAAACGACGATGCCACTACAATTACCGTTTATTAATGAATAAACTCAATGATAAAATGAATTTAACACAATACAACTAAATATTTATTCGGATACACAAAGATCACTTACATATATTATTATTTATTATTATTATAACTATTATTTTTATTGCTAAGTTATGTATATCCTTATGTTGTGCAGGCTTACTAGGCCTACTACTGCTACTACTACTACTATTACCACTATCATTACTACTTCCACTACCACTACACCACCACCACTACTACTAGTAGTAGTACTACTACTACTACTACCACTACTACTAAGTACTACTACTACTACTACTACTACTACTACTACTACTACTACAACTACTACTACTACTACTACTACAACTACTACTAGGGACTTGACCTACTAATATTATTAGTTCGCGAGTAGCTTTATACTTGTGCATGCACGTCAAGTTTAATAAACAAATTCTATTTGGTACATGTTGGTACAGTAAATGTACGCGTGAGTGACAGACCTAGGCCTACATTATTTTTTAGATAATAGGTTAATAATTATTTATTTTAAATGTATTTAATGTTCTTTTGAAATAAAATTGCGGTTCAAGTCTGCGGATGTTTCACCCTATATTCGCCATCATAGTATAATTCCGGTCTACTCACAGTTTGTTTACTTGACGTTTAAAAATGCACAAGTACAATATAGGTACAGATAGGCCTACGTAATATATGAAAAACGATTACCTTAATAAGAATAGTTGATTTCTCGTAAGTGGGACTTGTTTTCTATTATACAGGCATCACCCCATCTTAAAAAGATACTGTACAAACAATGTTACGGTAAAATGTTACTGTGTTTCATTGTACTCTGTGTGTGTTCATGATTTCAGATAGGCCTACATTATACGTGAAACGACGATGCTACTGCAATTACCGTTTATTATATAGGTACAGATAGGCCTGTAATTTATTGAAAGCGATGACAATAATTAAATTATGGTGAAGATAGGCCTAATGATGATGATGACTACGAACTGCAGGCCTATAATAAACATGATTGATTTCTCGTAATAGTGAGAAACCTAGTGTCCAAAAAAACGGGTTTGCGAGATAGGCTTGCCCAAAGCAATTTTATTGCATTTTCTGGATATTTTGGGTATGCTGAATCCAAAAATGCAAGGGTCCATTTTTTTCAATATCGTCTTGGCCGCCATATTGGAATTTCAAAATGGCTGCCATTTTAACCATAAAAATGATCATAACTCTACTATTAAAGCAGATATTGACTTAATTTCAAGTGTTAACCCTATGTTTTCAATGTCAACCTATTTGATTTTAATATTGTCATAGACCATAGATGGCGGCCATTTTGAATTTCAAGATGGCCGACCGTTTTTCAACAAAATCTTTCTGGAAAACAAGTATTTCAATTATCATGGTGTTTACAACAATATAAATTACAGTGTATGCCTCAACCCTGTGCCTACATAGCCAATTACACGCAGGGCGTTTATGGACGAATCCATTTTGTGCTCAAGAGGTATGTTTAAAATAAATAAATATAAATAAATTCAGGAAGAAATCACAAACCTTACAGAAAGCGGTATATCAACAAATGAACTATAAAATATACACAAATACATATACATGTGACTTAAACTGCCTGTATAGTAAACCCGATAATAAACGCAGGGCATGTATGGGTGATTCCATTTTTCCTTGAGGGGTAGTTTAAAATATATGAATATATGCATGATACTTAAGCTTATAGAGAACACAATTAGGCGTCCAGGATGAGTTTAACCGCTACCAATGTAGAAACAGCGTCTTTGTTACTGGGTACACACAGGCACCCTGTTAGGCTGTTAGCCCACCCACTTTTTCTACTGGGGGGGCTGCCCCCCCCCCACTTTTGTGACTGTTACCAGCACCAGTGACAAACATTCTACGAACGCTGCAATGTCATTATTATTATTATTATTGTTATTTCGTGCTTACACCTTGTTTATTTGCGCCTTATAAATTGACCTATTATTATTATTATTATAAAATATAGATTTTTTTTTAATTTTCTAACGAACACTACAAGTTCTTTTTTGAGTTGAGCAACCAAATGTGTGATTGACGTCTGTATACGTGCTTCTGTAAAGTTTCCTTGAAACCCACCCTCGAGCATGCAGAAACGAAATCGCCTGTATTCGTAAATTCTGTATTTAGGCATATAGGGGGAGGTAGGCACTCTTAATGAAGCGACGTTCTAGTTCTCTTTATGCTGACCACGAAGATGTATAGTAAGTGTAACTGATTGGCTTACAGTAAGCCTTTAAACTAGCATTATATAACCACATTTAAACTCTTAATTTAACGAAAACAAAATAAGATACTTATTAGGCCACTTTTTAAAAATAAAGTTGTCTGAAGGTTAAGTACCGGTACAGAATTTACAGTACGGTACACTGTAGTTAATGTGATAGGTTGTAAAAACTCTATTAAGTAAAAAGAAAATATTTTAAATAAAAAATCTTTCGCTTGACATTAGGAATTAATCATTTTGTGAAACAAAATGTAGGCTATGTCAAGTGTTATATTAAACAGTGGCAGATTCAATGGGAAACCCAGTCAGCACTGGACCCCATCCTATTTTTTTTTTCAAAATTATCCAAAAAAAAAAAAAAANNGAGAAAACAGACAAAATTGTATTCAACTTTTAATCTAAGAGTGCCATTTCCGGCCATCTAGATGTGCCATAATCATAATTTTCCAACAGTTGTGGGGCTGAGGCGGGTGGACATTTTATTTACGCAAGACTCTCCTTGGAACACCTCTATTTCTATTTTCGACTCATTTCTGAGCTACATACGAGTGTAATTTATATACATCGGGGGAAAAGTGAAGTTTCCGTCGGGGAACCCATATCAAAGATAACCCTCATAATAAATAATTTATTGAGGTCGTGGAAGCAATCTCGACTTCGACTTTGTTCGGAAATCTGTGGCGCATTCAAGGGGAGGGGGAGGCTAAATTGTTCTTTTTTTTTAATGGCGATATAAGTCTTAAGAGTATAATTTCTGGCCATCTAGAGGTGCCATAATCACAAATTTTCTTACTTCAGCCCAACCATGGCGGGGCTGAGGTGGTATAGATCCTCCATCTGCTGAAGTACCCAGTGGCGGATTCAATGTGACCCAGCCGGCCCGCCCCACCCTGCTAAATTGTTCAATATAAAATTGAGCTATAAAGATAATTATATTCAAATTTTATGTCTGGAAGTGCAATTTCTTGCCATCTGGAAGTGCCATAATCACAAATTTTCTTATCTCAGCTCCAACCATGGTAGGGCTGAGGTAGTATAGATCTTCTATATGTGAAATTACCCTCCCTGGGCCCTTCTATTTCGAATTCCTAGATCCGCCACTGGAAATACAACAAATAGGAAATCATATTACAGTAGCTTGATGCCTATAAAATACTTATAAAATTCACCAAACTTCGTAAAATATCCATAGCTTGCAGGGGCCTTCGCCAATGGACCCCACCAAGGGCCCTTGGCGACCCCCTGGCCCCCAGCCTAGATGCTCGCTTAGCTCGCATACTCGGCCTTATGAAATGCCCCACCCCCACTTTTATGTATAACATTGTTTTGAAGTTGCTCTGATAACAATAAAGATAATTTTACATTATAAAAATGTTTTACCTCCAAAATGGCAGCCATCTTGGAATTTTTTGTGATGACGTCATCATTCCGATTAATTTTTTTACGAGAGTGAAGAGTAACTATTTAGCCAAGTTCAAGTTACATTTGATATACATAGCATATGTATAAGTGACTAAAAACATACATTTATTTCCCCTACCCCCATCTTAATTAGTCCAAAATAGGATATTTTATGTCAAAATTTCAAAGTGCTATAAAAAAAGTTGCCCAAGCTCTAAGAATGGGGATTTTTTTTCTGAGACACTATATGATATATGTCATAATCATTCCTGATGATGACATAATTAATGTCGAAATATTGAATCCCAACACGATGGCGTGTATTTCAATACTTGGAGTATGTATTATACTTTCCTATATGATATACTGATTCAGAAAAACCAAAAATAAATTTTCCTTTACTTTTTCCCGCTAATTTCCTACTGCACCCAGTCTATTTGCAGTGCACAGTAGTGCAGCCACATAAGGTATATCCTTAGGTGGAACATACTGCCTAACAGGGTGCCTGTGTGTACCCAGTAACAAAGACGCTGTTTCTACATTGGTAGCGGTTAAACTCATCCTGGACGCCTAATTGTGTGCTCTATAAGCTTAAGTATCATGCATATATTCATATTAATTGACTATGTAGGCACAGGGTTGAGGCATGCACTGTAATTTATATTGTTGTAAACACCATGATAATTGAAATATCTGTTTTCCAGAAAGATTTTGTTGAAAAACGGTCGGCCATCTTGAAATTCAAAATGGCCGCCATCTATGGTCTATGACAATATTAAAATCAAATAGGTTGACATTGAAAACATAGGGTTAGCACTTGAAATTATGTCAATATCTGCTTTAATAGTAGAGTTATAGTCATTTTTATTGTTAAAATGGCAGCCATTTTGAAATTCCAATATGGCGGCCAAGATGTTATCGAAAAAAATGGACCCTTGCATTTTTGGATTCAGCATACCCAAAATATCCGGAAAATGCAATAAAATTGCTTTGGGCAAGCCTATCTCGCGAAATGACACTAGGGACCACACTATAACCAGTAAGACTTGTTTTCTATTATACTGGCATCACCCCATCTCAAAAAGATACTAGAGCGTTGCTTAT